GAGAGAGAGAGAGAGAGAGAGAGAGAAAACAAGCCACCAGGTCCAGGACTTGAACTGTGGTTGGCCATGTGGGAGTCCAGTGCCCTTAACCACCATGCCACCTGCCAGCCCCTCCTTAGTCTTCTTCTAAGCTTTCTTACTGTGGCCCAGGTGTTTCTCAACATCTTGCTTCTTGGCATTTCCCAACTTGCATCCTAAAGGCTATCCTTTGGTCACTGTCCCCAGCTTTGCCCTCTGGTTTTTGCACAGCCCACCTCTTGCACCTAGGAAACTGCACCTCTGGCTCCTTTATTCCCGCTCCCCTCCCCACCCCCTTTAATTCTACTCATATGACATGTGAGGTCACCTCCAGGACCCCTTTCCAGGCCACCGCCTCTTATGTGCTTCTCAGTCTCAGCATTTAACCTACGTCATTGTACCTGCAGGTTTGTTTTTTCTTTTTTCTTTTTTATTGAGAGGTTTTTGCTATAGGGCGCGTGCGCTCGCCAGACAGACAGAGAGAGACAGAGAGACAGAAAGTGAGAAATCACCCCCCGGGGCGGGGATGGCCACCCTCCAATCCCTTCTCCTCCATTCTCCTCTCGGGATCTTGGGCACGCACGCACACGCGCCCGACGTGAGTTTCAAGTCACCAGGTCCGGGACGCAAACTGGAGTCGACTACATGGGAGTCCAGCGACATAGCCATTACGCTAACTGCTGGTCCCAGTCTTTCTTTTTAATGCCAGACAGTATATACGTGAGAGAGAGAGGGAATCCTCCCAATGGGGCCTGGTCATGCCACAATTCTTTTTCTTCCAATTCTCCATCATGCCAGAATCCTGGGCGCACGCGCACGCACACACACACACACACCTATTTATTTATTTATTTATGCCATAAGGTGCGTATGCCCACCAGAAAGAGACACACAGAGAGTGAGTGAATAATCAACCCCCAGGGAGGATGGCCATGCCACAGTCCCTTCTTCATTCTCCTCTTGGGATTTTGGGTGCGCATGCACATGTACCTTTTTTTGAGAGGTTTTTGTTATAGGACATGTACACTTGCCAGAAAGACAGAGACAGAGGGATAGAAAGCAAGAAATCGCCCCCCCTCCCAGGGAGGATGGCCATGCCACAATCCCTTCTCCTCCATTCTCTCGGGATCTTGGGCACGCATGCACAAGCGCCCAGCGTGAGTTTAAGCCACTGGGTCCAGGACTCAAACCTCAGTTGACTACATAGGAGTCCAATGACATAGCCATTGCCAACTGCTAGTCTCCCTGGCGTGAATTTTAAGCCACCAGGTCGAGGATTCGAATTGTCGTTGGCCATGTGGGAGCCCAGTGCCTTAACCACTATATCACCTACTGGCCCCTGGCCGATAACGTTTCTAAAGCTACTGGCTGAGACTTAAATTCTGCTTGGCCATGTGGGATCCAGCCTCCTTTCTGTAGCACGTAACTGCTGCTCTGTGAAGCCAGCCCAGGCTTATTTTTTCAACTCTCCCCATAGATTATAAACTTGTTGAAGAGGAAGACTATGTTGTCTTTGTTTTGGTAACCTGTCTACCTAGCACAATGCTGAAATATGTCAAGTACCCGGTAAGTGTACTTTGAATGGATGGAAGCGCGGATGGGAGTGTGAACGAGTTTGTTTCTCCTGTGCCACACTCTGGTCCTTGAACTATGTCTCTTACTCAGCACGTAGTCCCTCGTGGGTGGAAGTCGTGGATAGATCAAATGTTTTGAAAGTTCTGGATTTGCACTCAGACATCAAATCCAGTACAATTCTAGGCTTATATTCTAACATGTTCTGGGGTTGTTACATGGTTTATAGTTGATCATATGTATTCCTGGACATGCAGGATTGAGAAAAACCTGGTGAGAGTAGAGAAAATCAACTAGCTCCAGTCTGTGGTTTACAATGTAAGGGAGAGATTGGTGGGCATGATTACCTTTCCTTAGAATGTTAAATAAGTTAGAAAAATACAGGACCGCAGTTGGCATAATGGCTATGTCACTGGACTCTCATGTAGTCAACCGTGGTTCGAGTCCCAGACCCAGTGGCTTAAACTCACACAAGGCGTGTGTGCGTGCGTGCCTAAGATCCCAAGAAGAGATGGAAGGGAAGGGATTGCGGTGTGGCCATCCCCTCTTTGGGGGGATATCTCACTTTCTGTCTCTCTGTCTCTGTCTTTCTGGTGAGCGCATGTGCACTATAGCAAAAACCTCTTCAAAAAATAAAAAAAGAGAGAAAAGAAAAAGAAAAAGAATTGTTGATTTCTCTACTGCATTTCATGCTCTGTACTCTGCTATGGGTGGACTGAATAGATACATACTGTCCTTGCTCCAAGAGAGCCCACCATTTATTCAGAGGCATGGACATGCAAGTAACTCATGGTAACATGTGAGTTACATGTGATCATGGAGGGGCGAATGAATAGGTGCAGGTATGGAAGGAGACGTTTAGGTTTTGAGGTTTGAGAGGGATTGTGAAGCAGGAGGCCTTCAAAGCTGGCACTCTGGGGCCTTGGCATAGGAGCACAGGTGCTCAGGAGAGAGGAGAAAGGGCACAGGGTACACAGAGCGGTCAAGTGCAGTTGCTGCAGCACTGGACATAAGTCCTTCCAGTCACTTCCCATTCACGCCCCATCATGGCCCCTCTCTGTCTGCTCAGACTTCCAGCGGCTCCCCTTCTCACCCTGAGTAGAAGCCAGAGCACCACCGAGGTCCTGAAGGTCCAAGTCAGCAAGGTGACCTCTCCCACATCAGCCCCGTCGGTTCTCCCCATGACTCCCTTTACCCTGTTTCCTGGCGAAGATAGACACGCTCCTGCCTCAGGAGCTTCGAGTTTGCTTTTCCCTTGACTGAGGTGCTTTTCCCTCAAAAAACAGCATGACTGGGAACCAGCAGTTAGCATAATGGCTATGTCGCTGGACTCCCACGTAGTCGACCACGGTTCGCGTCCCGGACCCGGTGGCTTAAAACTCACGCCGGGCGCGTGTGCGTGCGTGCCCAAGATCCTGAGAGGAGAGTGGAGGAGAAGGGATTGCGGCATGACCATCCCCCCTGGGGGGTGATTTCTCGCTTTCTGTCTCTATGTCTCTCTCTTTGTTTGGCGAGCGCACACACCCTGTAGCAAAAACCTCTCAAAAAAAAAAAAAAACCAGCATGACTTGCTCCTTTACCTCCTCCAGATTTCCACTTAAATGCCACCTTCTCCGTGAGGGCTTTTTTGTCCATTTTATTAAAAATTGCAACCTCTTTCCTTGCACAGAGGGTGTGAAGGATTGCTAGTTTTCACTGTCCCCCACAAATCTATGCTCTTCTTCCTCTGGTCACTCAACTGCCCAAAAGACTACATTTCCCTCTACATTAGATACGACCATATGACTGGTCAGAAGCCTAGATCTCACTAATGATATATGAGAGAACTTTGTGTAACTTCTCACTTACCAGAAACAAAATCGTTTACCTTAGACTTCTTTTTTTTATCATTTTCTTTCAGGCTGGACATCAGACATGCCAGTGGCCCAGACTCAACGAGGCTAATGAAGACAGGACCTCAGGGGATAGCAAAGTAATGAGATAGCAGAAGCCTGGGCTCCTGAATGACTCTGTGGAGCAGAGATGCTCCATCACCTAGAATGAGAACACATGTTCTTAGAGAGAAATGAACTTCTATTTAAGTTACTGTGTAATGGGAACACTTTGTTCCAGTGACTTAGCCTACACTCCGACCTACACATTTCTTCTACATTTCCCCAATTTATTATTCTGCCTAGCACTTACCACTGTCTATCAAATTAATAACTTTTGTTCTTTTATTTCTCATCTGCCTTCCTTAATTAGAAGGTAAGTTCTTTGAAGGCAGGGATTTTTGTCTTTGTTCCCTGTGGCATCCTCAGATTGATAATAGGATCCCACTCACAGTAGGTATTCAATTAATATATAGGGAGTGAAATAATATTAGCCACCAAAAGTGAAATCATTCTCTGTGCCATAAAGAAAGGGCTTTAGTAACTTTTGAAATGAATCCTATGGCACAGGAGTGGAGGGGGCAGGAAGAAGTTAAATGTTAGGGAGCAAAAACAGGGAAACTCCGTGTATGAAAGGTAGAGAGGAGGGGTGGAGTTTCTGATCTCCCTCCTGGGGGCACTCCTGTGTTTGGGAGGAGGACTCTGAGACTGTTCCAGCACTTCTCACAATTGGTCTTGGTTTTGGTGTTGACTTCCATATGAAAAGGGTAGAGAGATAAAGTTTCTTTATCTCTACTTAGTAAAAAGTAAACTGTGCTTTCTTCTTCATGTCATCTATCTTTTTTTTTTTTTTGGAGAGGTTTTTGCTATAGGGCGCGTGCGCTAGCCAGACAGACAGAGAGACAGACAGAAAGCAAGAAATCACCCCCCAGGGGGGATGGCCACGCCGCAATCCCTTCTCCTCCATTCTCCTCCCAGGATCTTGGGCACGCACGCACACGTGCCCGGCATGAGTTTTAAGCTGCTGGGTCTGGGATGCGAACCGCGGTTGACTACGTGGGAGTCCAGCGGCATAGCTATTACACTAACTGCTGGTCCCCCATGTCATCTATCTTCATTCCCTTCCTCTTTGTGTGGAAAAACTATGTATCAAAATATATTCAGGATGACTGACTTTGTATTCAGGGAAATGGCTATGGAATGGTGGAAAACAAGGTAGAGTTGAACTGCCTTAGATTCAAGTCTGAAGACTTTATGAGTGAGTGGTCTTGAGTCAATGGATGGGCTTCCATTGTCTTTGTCATTGTCACTTGTACAGAGTATATATAACACTGGCTCTTTATTTTTTGGTGAGCTGCTCTGGGCTGAATTTTTTCTCTCCTTCCCTCCAAATTCATATGTTGAAGCCCTAACCCCCAGCACTGCACAATGGTACTATATTTGGAGAGAGGGCCTTAAAAGAGGCCATTAAGTTAAAATAGGGTACTTTGAGTGGTTCCTGATCCTGATCTGATCAGACTGGTGTTCTTATAAAAATAGGAGATTAGGACACAGACACCACAGAGGAAAGATTGGTTAAGTACACAGGGAAAAGGCAGCCATCTACAAGTCAAGGAGAGAGGCCTCAGAAGGAACTAACCCTGCCCACACCTTGACTGTGGACTTCTAACCTCCAGAACTGCGAGAAAATAAATCTCTGTTAAGTCATTCAGTCTGTGGTATTTTGTTATGACTGTCCTAAAAACTACTAGGAGATAATGTAGAACAAACACAATGATATGCTATAGCTGCCCCTCCCCACACACAGGCATGCTTTTTTTCTTACATTAACAGAAGCATTTACAATCTAGAAAGCACTGGTACTATCCTGCAGTGCTAGAACTCACAGAATGAAAAAAGAGTCCCTTTCTGGAAACACTCTGATTGCTGTGGTGGGTGGTCATTGACAGAGCTGAAGAAAGGACTTGAGGCGGGCGAGGAGTCTGGGAATTGCCACACTGAAGGAAGAGGCTACGCATAACCCAGAGAAGAGAATTCTCAAGGGAACACAACGCTATCTCCAAATAGAGAAAATGCTGTCTTCAGGAAAAGGAATTCGATTTGGCTGTATGGGCCCAGAGGCGAGAGCCAGAACCAATGGGTCAAAGTTTCAGGGAGGTAGATTCAATATAAAGGCTTCTGTAAGAGAGCTGTTGGCAATTATAACAGGCTTCTTCAAGAAGTGTTCGATGAGGCTAGAGGACCACTTATGGGAAATGTCACGGAGGGGATGAAAACATAGACTCCATATTTGGACCAGATAACCTGGGTCATTCCTTCTGTCCTGACATCTTTTGTGTACATGGACTGGACTTCAGCTGAAGAACAGCTTTTAGACATATCACTTACGAATATGAAAAAAAAGTACATGTATGGTCAATAACCATTTTTGAGATTTATTGATTTCAAGGCTATTAGAATGGATTTAGAAATATTTATCATAAGAAAAAAATGGAAGAAATACTTAAACTGTAGAAGGTATTCACAGGACCGTGGAAATGGGGAAGAATCTCCAAGGAAGATTTTGGAGCCTCAAAGCCTAACACTTAGCAGGAA